CAGGAAAGACCCCAAGTACAAAAGAGAACTACAGACCAATTTTAGTAATGAGTATTGATGCAGAAATACTCAACAAAACCTTAGCTAGCTACACATTGAAGAAATTATACATCACAATCAAGTAGGCTTCATCCAAGGGATGCAAGGTTGGTTTAACATATACAAATCCATAAATGTAATTCACTGTATCAGTAGAGGCCAAAAGAAAGACCACATGATTCTCTTAATAGATGTAGAAAAAGCATTTGAGAAAATTCAGCGTCCTTTTTTAATAAGAACACTTAAGAAAATAGGTATGGGTGCACATTTCTTAAGCTGATTGAAGCCATCTATGATAGACCCACAGCTATCATCATCCTGCATGGAGTAAAACTGAAAGCTTTTCCACTTAGAACTGGAAGCAGACAAGGATGTCCATTATTGCCACTACTATTCAACATTGTGCTGGAAGTTCTAGTCAATGTAGTCAGCCAAGAGAAAGATATTATGGGCATCCAAATGCGGACAAAGGAGGTCAAACTCTTGCTCCTTGCTAATGATACGATCTTATACTTAGAAAATCCCAGAGACTCAACCACAAAACTGGAAGTGATCAGGAAATAATGTCTCGGGACATAAAATCAATGTCCACAAATCTGTAGGCTTTGTATATTTCAATAATAGCCACACTGAGCAGCAAATCAGGGATATAGTTCCTTTCACAGTAGCTTCAAGGAAAATGGAATACTCAGGAATATACTTAATGAAAGAGGTGAAGGATCTTTACAAAGAGAATTATGAAACCTTGAAACAGCAGAAGACATTAAGAGTTGGAGGAACATACCATGCTCTTGGATGGGAATAATCAACACTGTTAAAAGTGTGCGTTCTATCCCAAGCGATCTATAGATTTGATGTAATCCCCATCAAAATACCAACATACTTTGAAGAACGATAAAAAATAGTACTTTGTTTTGTATGGAACCAGAAAAGCCCATATAGCCAAAGCTATTCTTAGTAATAAAAACAAAGCTGGAGGCATCACCCTACCAGACTTCAGGTTATATTACAAGTCCACAATAATAAAAATAGCATGGTATTGGCACAAAAATAGAGACATAGACATATGGAACAGAGTAGAAAATCAAGAAACCTCTAGTTGTCATCTGATCTTTGATAAACCAAACAAAAGCATACACTGGGAAAAAGAATCCCTATTCAACAGATGGTTCTGGGAGAACTGGATAACATATAAAAGACTGAAACTGGACCCACACCCTTCACCACTTACAAAGGTTGACTCAAGATGGTAAAAGCTTTAAATCTAAGACATGAAATAGTAAGAATCCTGGAAGAAATTGTGGGGAAAACTCCTGATGATATTGGACTTGGAAAAGATTTTATAAGAGAGACTTTAGTAGCAATTGCAGCACCAACAAAAGTAAACGAATGGGAATTAAGTGGAAAAGCTTCTGCAGCTAAGGACACAAAATAAAAAGACGACCTTCGGAACCGAAAAAGGTATTTGTAGGGTGTGAATCTGACAAATTGTTGATGACTAGAATCTACAGAGAGCTCAAATTAACAAAAAGAATAAACACATCTTCCACTGGGCAAGAGACATGAACAGAACCTTCTCTGATGAAGATAGATGAATGGCTAACAAACATTTGAAAAAATCTTCATCATCCCTGATGGTTAGAGAAATGCAAATCAAAGCCATCCTGAGATTTCACCTAACCCAGTGACAATTGTTGGAGTAAGGGTCTCGCAGAAAAGCTATGTCGCGAAGAACAAGCACGCTTATTGAAATTATGTTTTAAATAAAGGTGACCATCTGCTCGCTCAGGCAAAATGGCGAGCTTCTTTATTTGCAGTTGGCTTATATAGGGAATTTTGTACATGAGCACAATGCAGCAATGACCTCACTGATCCATTTAAACAGCTTATGACCACCCGCCCTATAAGTAGCTCCTCCCTGGTAATCTAATAATCCACCCAACATACACCTTTAAGCATAATCCTTTCAATATAACCTGGTTTAACATAACTTAATGAAGAACATGTTGTCAGTTATTACTTTCTTTGATCTTATCTGATGAAGCCTGAGGCTACGGGGGAAAGAGAGGATTTGAATGTCTGTTCTACTGACCATGCCATTTGGAGGCAGTTACTTTGCATCTTTAAGCAAAGCATAGAGAAACTTCTTGGGCATATAGGAATTTGTGTGCAAACCTCTTCTCCCATGTAGGCCTTAAGTCAGGGGGGGTTTTGCTGGAGACTTTTATAAGGAATTCTCAGGCTGGACTTCTCAAAAGCCTTTCATGAGCCCAAGTTTCATCTGTACCATTAGCTACTTGTATAACATTACCATTCCCAGACCTGTCAGCAAGCGACCTTCGTCACTTACCACAGATCAGGAAAGGTTACTGATGGGTATCTGGCCAGTGTTCCAAAGGGCTTTCTCATAGGCCTTATAAAGTCAACCTTAATTCCTTAACGCAGTCTGGAAATGCTATTCCAGCTAAAACCTTGTTCATGTTAGGCCCGCAGCTAACCTGGCTACATGAGATTTTGCCTCAGTTTCTTAAGTATGCCTGCACAAAGTCTTTTCACTGCTCTCTCTCAAGCGGCTTTTTTGGCCAGAGGCATATAGGCGTTTCGCCTATAGACAATAGCCTACATAATAGAGGCTTAAAGCTGCAGATGTTGGAGTGGATGTGAAGATATATTAAGTTCTAGAACAGAGTATGTAGAAAGAATCTATTTATGTAAGAAATAAAACCCAAGGTATATATGTGTGTGTCTCTTTCTCTGTGTAGTATTTTATAGAAAAAAAGCCTTAGGTGGGTAGAAACCATTCTGTTCAGTGCTTACATTTGAAGAAGGATGTTGGAGAGATGTTGACATGGCTTGTATTTTTTTTTTAACCATATGATTAAACTTACATATTATATAATGAGTAAATTGTAACTATAGTAAAAATAATCTAATCTTTCGGTTTTTATATGTTTTGTTAGGATTGGTCCAAAGGAAGATTTTTTCCACTGTTCGAAATGTAACTTATGCCTAGCTATGACTCTTCAAGGAAAACACAAGGTATATAATTTAGTTTGCATAATTTTTAAAATATCTAATGTTTATGAAAATTGGCTTAAATTCTAATATGTTTTGGAACCATGCTTGTCTTTAGATATTGCCAAGTACAGCTACATTGCTTTTTGTAATCAAGTACTCTACCACTGAATTATACCCCTATATGTTGCTTTTTTGAAAAGCATTATTAAGAAGTAGATATTCTAAAATGTATGCCTCAGAATATCTGATCTACATAGTTCCTTTTTTTCCTATAGTGTAAGTATGTTTATACCAGTTATTAGCATAATGTTGACAACTTCTAGGTTGTTTTATGGATTCTTACCACTGGTACTGCCTCTTTTTTAGCTTTTTTATTTTTATTTATCTTGTTATTTCAGATGAATATATGGGTACAAACAATTAGGTTACTTTGTTAGGTAAAGTCCAAGTTGTAGTTGTGTGCTGTACACCCCTGCCTGCATGTGCCTGTGAGGTGAGAGCTCACCAATTCCCTCCTGTTCCCTCCTCTCCTTACCCCATTTGACTTTCACTGTGTTTTTCCCCTGTGTGGGTATGTAGCTACTTATCTACTAGTTTCATTTTAGTGTTGAGTACATTGGATGTTTGCTTTTACATTCTTGTGATACTTTACTTAGAAGGGTGTTCTGAGACCGGGTGGGCAAGGCCAACAAGGAGGACGCTACCCGCGCTTCCAGATCCTGGGAAAAGTCTATTCTGTTTTAAGTGATAAGGAACGGAGAGCAGTGTACGATGAACAAGGAACAGTGGACGAGGACTCCGCTATGCTCACTCAAGACCGAGATTGAGAGGCCTATTGGAGGTTACTCTTTAAAAAGATCTCTCTAGAGGACATTCAAGCTTTTGAAAAGACATACAAAGGTTCTGAAGAAGAGCTGGCTGATATTAAACAGGCCTATCTGGATTTCAAGGGTGACATGGATCAGATCATGGAGTCTGTGCTTTGTGTGCAGTACACAGAGGAACCC